CATATGAGAACCTATTATTATGGAATTCGTGAGGGTCATCAAATCTGTATAAAAACTTGGTTTTTGCAGCTTTTTGTCGATATATGAGTATATTAAACATAATTATGAACTTAAAAGCCCTATTCGGCGGGTTCAGTTGTATGGGGGCTAGGTGAAATAATGGACCGATGTAAACCATTTTCAACAGGCTTCGTTTACGGTACCATAAAAGATTATGTGCCAAATTTCATTGAATTATCTCCAAAATTGCGACCTGTAGTTTGATTACAAAGTTTTAAAAGCCCTATTCGGGGAGTTCAGTCGTATGGGGGCTAGGTGAAATAATGGACCGATGTTAATCATTTTCAATAGGCTTCGTCTACGGTACCATAAAATATCATGTGTCAAATTTCATTGAATTATCTCCAAAATTGCCGACTTATAGTTTGATTACAAGGTTTACAAGCCCTATTGGGGGTTTCAGTCGTATGGGGGCTAGGTGAAATAATGGAACGATCTTAACCATTTTCAATAGGCTTCGTCCCTTGGGACAATAAAGATCATGTACCAAATTTCATTGAATTATCTTCAAAATTGCGACCTGTAGTTTGATTACAAGGTTTACAAGCCCTATTGGGGGTTCAGTTGTATGGGGGCTAGGTGAAATAATGGAACGATCTTAACCATTTTCAATAGGCTTCGTCCCTGGGACAATAGAAGATCATGTACCAAATTTCATTGAATTATCTTCAAAATTGCGACCTGTAGTTTGATTACAAGGTTTACATGGACGGACGGACGGATATAGCTAAATCGACTCAGAGAATGATTCTGAGCCGATTGGTATACTTTAAGGTGGGTATAGAACCAATATTATTATGCGTTACAAACATCAGCACAAACCCAATATACCCTCCCCACTGAAGTGGTGTAGGGTATAATTAAATGTCTTACAGAATTAGCAATTTGAAAATGTTGCATTTAAAATTAATAAATATTGAAAATGTTACAAGTGAAATTTGCAATTATTTTTAAATCAATTACAGCATTTCAATATCAAACGCCGCTAGCCAACCAGCCAGACGGACAGTAAAATAGATAAACAAATACAAATTTAGTAATTTATAAAAATACATTTGAGTTTTTTTTTTTTTTTTTTTTTTGAAAAACAACTTTACTCAAAAATATGACATCATTTTTTCTCCTTTCAACAGATTTTAGACAAAATATACATTTTGCGTTTCAATTTTATGTTTTATTTTGTTTGTTTAATTGTTTGTTCATTTTATACGTTATTTTGGTATTATTGTTCAAATACACAGAACTGAAAATGTGTTTTTTTTAACTTTTATTTCGTTCAAACGTCAAACTAATAGATTGGGACCTAATCGAACGTGACAACTAACACGCCAACTACTTGTTCGACATTTAAGCGTAGAACTGCAGTGTAATGCAGAAGACATAAATACATATTTATAGTTTAACATATTGGAAATTATGTTAAAGTATATTGACGATAAATTTATGTTAATTTCTGCCCCCCATTCTGAGTTTAAATACTAAATTTCAACACTTTCTTTTTATTTCTATACTTCATATTTTGCCGGCAAGTGTATTTTCTTTAAACAATAACAAAGTATGTAAATAAACAAAACACATACATATACATACTTAGGTTAATATTATTAAATTTTAAGATAATGAGAAATTTCTCTAATTAACTACAATTATGTGTCTGTCATTATTTAAATACCTTTTTAAGACTTTGTAAATAATTTGTTAAGTGCAAATGTTTTAATAAACAACAAAATTCTAAAGTTTTAAATAAATATATAAAATGGACTTCAAGGTTTCTAATTGTCAATATGTCTGACTTTGCTATGCAAATACAGTTTGTTATTCTTTCGTTTTATTATTTCTCACTCGCGAATATATAAATTCGAGAATTTTTTCTTATCATTCGATTCTTACTAATTCAAGTCAAATTTTTTCCCCAAAATTCTCTTTTATTTTAAATTTGATTGTTAATTTCTTGTCAATATTCACTCGCGAAAGAAACGAATTCTCATTGCAGATTCGCTCGTGAAAGATTGTAAAAGTTTAAATTTCATATCATGGATTCTTAATCCGCAACTCTAGTTTTCTAGTAATTTAAGACAAGATTTTAATTACAGAGCTTTTAATAGTTCAAACAATCTAAATAAAGCTTGAATTGTAATTCTCTAAGTAGTCTCGTTTAAGCTTTAATCGTAGTTTTGTAAATAACACTAAATAAAGCTTATATTTTAAGTCCGTAAATTGTCAAAGACTAGCCTCAATCATAGTTCTTTAATTCGTCTATGATGAGCTGTAATCACAGAGCTAAATGGTGTTTAAGCTGAGCTTTAGTTTGAGCTATAATTCTTGATCAATAAGTAATGTAGGCTGAGATAAAATCGTAGTTATCTTGGGACTTTTATAGGTCTAAGTCAAGATTTAATTTTAGAGCTCTTAATAGTCTAAACAGAGCTTAAATTGTGTTATATCTTTTGAGCTTCAATCGTAGGTCTGTAAATAGTTCTAAATTAAGCTTTCATTGTTAGTCCTTAATTAGTCTAAGACTACTTTCAATCGTACTTCTTTAAGTAGTCTGAGTTGAGCTCTAATCTCAGGGGTAAATAATGTATAAGCTGAGCTTTAATTGTAGTTTTATTTAAGCTTTTATAGTATGTTGTAAAGCTGTCTAAATTGAGCTTTTTTCGTGGATCTGAAAACAGTATAAGTTATGCATTAATGGTAGTTCTATAATGGAGCTATTATTGAGATCCAATCGAAGATCCATAAGTTGTCTATGTTGATCTTTAATCTCCGTAAGAAGTCTAAGTGGTAGTAGGTCTGTAAGAAGTCAAAATCGAGCTTCAATAGTTGCTCTGTAAAAAGTCTAAGTGGAGCTTAAATTATAGGTCTGTAAGTAGTCTAAGTCGAGCTTCAATGTTGCTCTGTAGGAAGTCCAAATGGAGCATAAAATGTTGGCCTGAAAGTAGTCAAAGTTGAGCATCAATTGTTGGTCTGTAGGAAGTCTAAATGGAGTTTAAAATATAGATCTGTAGTAGTCAAAGTTGAGCTTTAATTGTTGCTCTGTATGAAGTCTAAGAGGAGCTTAAAATGTAGGCCTGTAAGTAGTCAAAGTTAACCTTTAATTCTTGTTCTATAGGAAGTCTAAGTAGAGCTTAAACTGTAGTCTGCGAATAGTTAAAGCGGAAGCTTCAGTTGTTGCTCTGTAAAAAGTCTAATCGGAGCTTAAATTGTAGGTCTGTAAGTAGTCTAAGCCGAAATTCAATTGTTGCCCTGTAAGAAGTCTAAATAGATCATAAAATTTAGATCTGTAAGTAGTCAAAGTTAAGCTTTAACTGTTACTCTGTACTAAAATGAATTTCTGTAAATATGTTACTCGAGCCTAAAATGAATTTCTGTAAATATTCAAAGTCGAGCTTTACTTATTGCTTTGCAGGAAGTCTAAATAGAACTTAAAAAGTAGGCCATTAAGTAGTCAAAGTCAAGCTTCAATTGTTGCTCTGTAAGAAATATAAGTAGAGCTTAAATTTTAGGTCTAAAAGTAGTCAAAGTCAAGCTTCAATTGTTGCTCTGTAATAAGTTTAAGTAGAGTTTTAAATTGTAGGTTTATAAGTAGTCAAATTAAAGCTTCAATTGTTGCTCTGCAGAAAGTCTAAGTAGAGATTAAAATGTAGTTCTGTAAGTACTTTAAGTCGAGCTTCAATTGTCGCTCTGTAGGATGTCTTAATGGAGCTTAAAATGTAGGTCCGTACATATTCAAGCAAGTCAAGCTTTAATTGTTGCTCTGAAGGAAGTCTAAGTAAAGCTTAAAATGTTGCTCTGTAAGAAGTCTAAGTGGAATTTTGTAGGCCTGTTAATAGTCAAAGTCAAGTTTCAATTGTTACTGTATATGTAGTCTATGTTAAGATTCAATCTTAGATCTCTATATAGTCTAAGTTGAGATTCTATCATTTAGTAGTTAAAGTTGAGCTTTATTTGTTGCTCTAAAAGTGAACTACGGCGAGCTTCATTTACAGCCCCAAAAGTAGTCTAAGTCGAGCTTTAAGCATAGTTGTAAAAGTAGTCTAAGTTGAGATTCAATCGTAGGTCTTTAAATAGTCAAAGTTGAGCTTTAATTTCAGGTCTTTAGGTTAGACTACGTTGGTCTTCAATTGCAGCTTTAGAAGTAGTCTAAGCCGGGATTCAATCATAGGTCTATCATCTGTCGAAGAAGAGCTTTTATTATAGCTTTATAAGTAGTCTAAGTCGTGCTTCAATTGCAGGTCTATAAGTTGCCTAAGTCGAGATTCAATCATAGGTCTATATGGGTATAAGACGAGCTTTAACTTCAGGTCTTTAAGTAGTCTAAGTTGTGCATCAATTACAGGTTTATAAGTAGCCTAAGTCGAGATTCAATTATAGTTCTAACATCTGTCTAAGACGAGTTTTTCTTATAGTTCAATAAGTATTCTAAGATGTGCTTGAGGTTCGTTAATAGACAACATTAAGCTTCAATTGTAGATCCGATTGAATAATAAGTCAAGCTTCTATCGTAAGTATATAAGTAATCTAAAATGAGCTCCAACAGTTCCAACATTAGGTCTATGAACAGTTTAGGTTGTGCTTTAGTCATAGGTCTATAAGTAATCTAAATTGTGCTTCAACTGTATCAAGTATATAAATATATTAAGTTGATTATTAAAGGATTAACACGAGCTCTAATCGTAGATATATTAAGTCCAGCTTGAGCTTTATTAAAATGTCTACTTTAAGCTTTTATTGTTGATCAATATTAAGCAATATATAAAAGCTTTTGGATTTTCAATTCCGAGGCTTAATGTAGCATGTACAAAGCTAGAGGTTTTGGAATTTAGAAAAGAGCTTTAAGCTCTTTTGATGAATCACCTATATAAATCACATTTGAACCGTTGCTGGTTTAGAATTTTGGAAAATTACTTTTAAAAACCTTTTTAAGTTTAAGTACTTACTCGTTTTGTTGCTTAACTAAGTTATCCAATTTGGCCTGTATGGCCTCCGCCGAGGGTTGGTGTACTTCCCTAAGGAATGTGACGATTGATTTTGAGAGCGCCTCATATCTTTATGTGATGATTTAAGTTCTTCAGATTCACCAAGTATTTCCTGTTCAAAGAAAACCACAATTTAAAAAAATAAAATAAAATTAGTGAAAAAAAAATCGATAAACAAATATTTAAACAAAAGTAAATAGAATTAATAATAGTATTAAGAGCTTTTTTTGTTGTTTTATTTTTTTTCGTTTTGTGAAGTGAATGGCAAATTTGTATATATAATTATTTAGATTTAAAACACGCATTTAAAAAAAACCAGTTACATTCTAAAAATAAATTATTTGACTTATGAGTTTATTAATTTTTGAAAATAAAATTAATAATGAAGGTGGTCATTTTGAACTTTGTTTATAATTAATATAATAATGCATTTATAGAAAAATATTTGTAAAAAGAATGTTTTATTTTCATAAAAGATAAGATATTAAAAAGTTTTAAATTTAAAAAATTTTGTTCCAAAATAAATTTTTATGAATTTTTTTTACTTTTGCTATATTGATTATTGTTTTTGCAAACATCTTTCATTTGATGTTTTTTTTTCAATAAATTAAATTATTTATTTGTCATTTTCAGTTGATTTCTCTTTTAAGCTTCTACTATCGCTCTCTCTCAAGAAAGAAAAAAAAAACAAGATGTTACTCTTTTAATTAAAACTGAATAAAATTCAATATTCCCGACCAGACTTTCGAAGGTCAGCTACGAACTTCTATGCCAGTGTATAATCACACACACACACTCAAACTAATAAATTTAATTCAAGAAAAAAATACTTGATTAACGCTTAACTTGAATACAAAATATTTTTTTAAAAATACTCATGCTTAATATAAAGTTAATTGAGGTTATAGTCGAATAATGCATTACCCTACTTTAGTTAATGCATTGCAGTTGAACGAAAGCTTTTCAGTTAGGACAATCTTAATTTATTCTCAAGATATTTATAAATTTTTGAAGGTTTTGTCTCAGTTACAGAACTAAGAACCATTCAGGCAATATGTTTTAGTAAAATTTATCAAAAAAGCTTTATACTTAAAGTTTGCTAAAAAGCTTTTTTTGATAAATTTTAAAGTTTTCCTTCTCCCAGTTTAAGAAATAAAATCCATTCAGGCAGTATATATTTGTAAAATTTATGAAAAAAGCTTTTTAGTTAAAGTTTTCTAAAAAGCTTTTTTTTTTTTTGATAAATTTTAAAATTTCCTGCTGAGTAAAACAACTTATAGCCATTCAGTATATATTAATAAAATTTATCAAAAAAGCTTTTTGGTTAAAGTTCGCTGAAAAGCTTTTTTGATAAATTTTAAAATTTCCATTTTAGTTATAGAACTAAGATCCATTCAGGCAATATGTTTTACTAAAATTTATCAGAAAAGCTTTTATGGTTAAAGTTTGCTAAAAAGCTTTTTTTGTTGATACATTTTAAAATTTCCGTCTGAATTAAACAACATTTTAGGGGATATATTAATAAAATTTATGAAAAAAAGCTTTTAGTTGAAGTAATCTGAAAGCTTTTTTGATAAATTTTAAAATTTCAGTCTGAGTTATAGAACTAAGATCCATTCAGGCAAAGTGTTACAAAAATTTATCAAAAAGCTTTTTAGTTAAAGTTTGCTGAAAAGCCTTTTTTGTTAAAAGTTAAAGTTTTCGTCTGAATTAAAGAGCTAATAACATTCATTCAGGCAATATATTAGGAAAATTTATTTAAAAGCTTTTTGGTTAAAGTTCGCTGAAAAGCTTTTTTGATAAATTTTAAAGTTTCCATCTTAGTTATAAAACTAAAACCCATTCCGGTAATATGCATTATAACATTTTATCAGAAAAGCTTTAAAGTTTATTGAAAAGCTTCTTAAAGTTACCGTCTGAGTTAAAGAACTATAAAAAGTTTTTTAGCTAAAGTTTAATGAAAAGCTTCTTCTTTCAACAATTTTAAAGTTTCCGACTGAGTCAATTATATATATGTGGGATTCGTCCAAAAAAGCTTGAGTTAAAAAGGAATGTACATTCACAGAATATATATTGGTAAAAAATATCAAAAAAGCTTTTAAGTGAAAGTGTTATGAAAAGCTGTTTTTTGTTAAATTTTACTATTATATGTTTATAGTGGATCTTAGTTCTTCAACTCATACGTAAACCTTAAAAATATTAATGTCTGAGAAAAAAAGTTAAAAGCTTTCTATTAAGCTCTGTTTTGTTTTGGAGCACTCAAATACACCATATCTTCTTCGGCAATATTCAATCATACTTTTTCAAATTAAACACTTGTAACAAATCCAATATGCCTCCAGTTTTAAGCGTAGTACTCTGTCGTAGTATTCAAACAAATACAAATTTGTTATTGTACAGAAACTCATGAATTTATTTTTAAATATTTCAATATATTTTTTTTTTTTTTTTGTATTTTCTCAACCGGCTTTGTGAATAAACGATGATGGTGTGGTGGTGGATGTTGTCATCAAAACAGAAATTGAAAATTATTTGTTGTAGTGTGAAATATGTTTTTTTTTTATTTCGTTTTTTAATTCAGCTTTACAATTTTTAAGTATGACACAATGCGTGTTTGTCTATATAATCAATCTAAAGACCAATTTCAAGTACACTCAACCAAAAATGATGTGTTTCAATGTAAATACATAATACTAATTAATTAAGAAAATGTAATTAATTTTGTAAAAAATTTCAAAATTAACGTGATTTTTTGGAAATTAATTTAAAGCTAATTAGGATAAATTTTTAGCGATATAAAATAGTTTAAACATTTTTTTAAAATTAAGTAACTGGAATAGTTTAAGAACTAAAATTTTCCTCAAATATTCTCTATCAATGCAGTTTGTTTGGTTTACTTGAGCCCTCTTTAAGCAAAATTGAACGAGTCCAGCTTTAATAGTTTCTCAGGTATAACAATCTCTAACAGTATCTCATAAGTGGTAGGTTCCATGCCCCCTATTGCAAGTACGATCATTTTGTGTCTGAATATACTCATTGGTACTAAAGGGAAGGGAAGAGGGGGACAAAGGCGAAGAAAAAGTCAGGGAGGCAAGAGCGGCGCCAACGAACGAACGAAAGAACGAACGAACGAACGAACGAACGAACGAACGAACGAACGAACGAACGAACGAACGAACGAACGAACGAACGAACGAACGAACGAACGAACGAACGAACGAACGAACGAACGAACGAAACGAACGAACGAACGAACGAACGAATCGAAAGAACGAACGAACGAACTAACGAAACGAACGAAGAACGAACTAACGAACTAACGAACTAACTAACTAACTAACTAACTAAACTAACTAACTAACTAACTAACTAAACTAACGAACTAACTAACTAACTAACTAACTAACTAACTAACTAACTAACTAACTAACTAACTAACTAACTAACTAACTAACTAACTAACTAACTAACTAACTAACTAACTAACTACTAGTGCTGTTAAAGTATTGAGTAGTGGGTATCGAGTATCGAGTATTTACCTTAATTTTTGGGTACTCAATACTAAAAGGTAACTACTCAATACTTTTGAGTTAAATAAGTACAACATAATCTGTTTAAATTTAACGGCTATAGTATAAAAATGCAACTCTGCTAAATATACAATTTTTTTTAACAAAAAAAATGTCAAATCAAAATAAAAATTTGTAAAGAAACTTGTAAAAAACTTAAAAATAAAAACAATTTATACAAAAAATTAAAATGTCGCAGAAGAGGAGCGATGTCTGGTCTCATTTTACCGAAATAAATTCAGAAAGTGCTAAGTGCAACATTTGTAAAGAGTTATCTCCTATAAAGGTAAGGTTGTGTCTACCAAAAAAGCATTCATTATTTTGATTACTTTGTAGGTGGAGGATCCTCAAATCTGCGGAAGCACTTATATTCGCAACATCCAACTGTTTCACTTAAAAAAGTTAGAAATCATCATGAAGATTCTGATGACGGTAAGATTTGGCCAAACCATTTTTTGGAATCTGAGTTCATATGAAATATTTTTTAGAAAACACCATCTACTAGCAACAAACAAATGAAACTTGATGATTACAATATAAGAATCCGTATGTCCAAAGCAATGGAAGAGAAAATACATAATGCACTCTTGCAGATGATTACCATTGATCTCCGGCCCTTATCAATTGTTGAAAATATTGGATTTCAAGAATTTACAAAAGCTTTAAATCCAGATTACAAATTGCCCAACCGAATCACTCTTACAAAGTCTTTATTGCCAAAAGTTTATGATAAGCGTTTATTGGAAGTTAAACATATGTTAAGAGACATTGATAACATATGTATAACAACCGATGGGTGGACATCTATATCAAATGAATCCTACATTTCAATTACTGCCCACTTCATTTCTCCTGACTGGAAACAAAAAACGGTCTTTATAAGTTGTTTTTAAAACAATGAAAGATCATACGGCTCAAAATCTTAAAGATGAAATTTGCCAAGTATTACAAGAATGGGGTATGGATTCAAAATTACTTGTGTTCTATCGGATAATGCTGCCAATATAGTAGCTGCTATTAAAAAGACTGGTTGGACTCATTTATCGTGCCTGGCACACAACCTGCATTTAGTGGTGACGGATGCATTAAAAATTAGTGAAATAAATGAAATTATAGTGAAGTGTAAAGTCGCTGTGGAATACTTTCATCGAAGTACGAAAGCCAGTAATAAGTTGAAAGAAATTCAAAATCAAATGGGGAAAACTGATTTAAAAATGATAAATTCCACTCCAACAAGATGGAACTCCACATTGCACATGCTAGAAAGATTTGTGAAAAACCAAGAACCGTTAGAAGCTGCTGTAGCAATTTTACATAATCCTACCATACTACCTTCTTTAGAAGAGTGGTGTATAATTAAAAGAATAATAATTATTCTACAACCGTTTAATGAAATTACCATCGAAATGAGTGGTGAAACATACACAACAATTTCTAAGGTTCTGATTTTGATACAAAGATTGCAGTCTTTTTTAATAAAACAAAAAGCGGCGAATCAAATGAGAAATGTAAAATATTCATAGAAAAGCTTTCCGCAAATATAAAC